TTCCTCATCCAATAAGGGCCCCACACCCTCTCTGATCACCCTCTTATTGCTAACATGCCTGTAGAAACCTTTCTTGTTACCCTTCACATCACTTGCTAGCTGCAATTCCAACTGGGCTATCGCCTTCCTGATAACCCCCTGCATTCCAGAGGAATATACTTATACTCCTCCCTAGTCATCTGTCCAAGTTTACACTTTTTGTAAGCTTCCCTTTTGTGTTTGGCTCACCGGAAAAATCCTTAATGAGCTTAATCTGGTCGCCTACCATATTTGCTTTTCTTACTCCGCATCGGGATGGTTTCTTCCTGTGTCTTCAATAAGGCTTCTTTAAAATACTGCCAGCTCTCCTAGACTCCTTTTCCCTTCATGTAAGCATCCCAGGGAATCCTGCCCATCAGTTCTCTGAAGGAGTCACAGTCTGCTTTTCCAAAGTCCAGAGTGTGTACTTTGCTACTCTCCTTACTTCCTTTTATCAGGACCCTGAAATCTACCATCTCATGATCACTGCTTCCCAGGTTGTTACCCACCTCTACTTCCCCTACTAGTTCCTCCCTGTTTGTGAGCAGCATGTCAAGCATGGCCCCATGTCAGTTCCTTCAGCACTTGTACCAAGAAGTTATCCCCAACATTCTCCAAAAACTTCCTGGATTGTCTGTGTACTGCTATATTGGTCTTCCAACAGATGTCAAGGTGAATAAAATCCCCCATGAGAACCAGGGCCTGTGATCTGGAAGCTTCTCTCAGTTGTCTGAAGAAAGCCTCATCTACCGCATCCACCTGATCTAGTGGTCTATAGCAGACACCAACCATAACATCACCCCTGTTGCTTCCACCTCTAAACTTAACCCATAGACTCTCAACAGGCTTTTCTCTCTATATATACGGGAGCTCTGAGCAATCATACTGCTCTCTTATGTACCTTGCAACTCCTCTTCCTTTTCTCCTCTGCCTGTTCTTCCTGAACAGTTTATATCCTTCCACAACAGCGCTCCAGTCATGCAAGTCATCCCACCAAGTCTCCATTATTCTAATAAAATCATAGTTCTTTGACTGGGCCAGGACTTCTAATTCTTCCTGTTTGTTTCCCAGACTCCTTGCATTTGTTTACAAACACCTTAGTTAACCAGTTGATTGCCCTACCTTCTTCATTTGAATCAGGGGTCCCCCTATGTTGCTCGTTCCTCCCTGTGTTTCTTCCCAGTATCCGACTTCCCCCACTTATCTCAGGGCTTTGGTCACCGTTCCCCAACTAACCTAGTTTAAAGCCCTCCTCACTAGGTTTGCAAGCCTGCCCGTGAAGATGCTTTTTTCTCTCTTGGTTAGGTGGATCCCATCTCTTCCTAACAATCCTTTGCCTGGAACAAAGTCCCATGGTCGAAGAAACCAAAGCCCTCTCTCCAACACCACCTGCGCAATCACGCATTTACTTCCTCAATTCGATGATCCCTACCTGGACCTTTTCCCTCAACAGGGAGGATGGACGAGAACACCACTTGCGCTTCAAATTTCTTGATCCCTCTTCCCAGCGCTACATAATCTGCAGTGACCCGCCCAAGGTCATTCTTGGCCGTATCATTAGTTCCCACATGGAGAAGCAGGAAGGGGTAGCAATCTGAAGGTTTGATCAGTTTTGGAAGAGTCTCGGTCACTTCCTGAATTTGAGTACTGAGTCCAATTTTGGGGCCCCCACTACAGAAATGACGTGGACAAACTGGAGATTGCCCAGTAGAGGGCAACAAAAATGATAAGGGGGCACATGACTTACAAGAAAAGTCTGAGGGAACTGGTCTTAGTAGTCCGCAGAAAAGAAGAAAGAGGGGGTGATTTGATAGTAGCCTTCACCTACCAGAAAGGGGGTTTCAAAGAGGATGGAATTAGGCTATTCTCAACAGTGGCAGATGATAGAACAATGAGCAATAGTCTCATGTTGCAGTGGGGGAGATCTAGTTTGGATATTAGGAAAAACTATTTCACTAGGAGAGTGGTGAATCACTGCAATTGGTTACCTAGAGAGGTGGTGGAATCTCCATCCTTATAGGTTTTTAAGGCCCAGATTGACAAGGCCCTAAGTGATTTGATTTAGTTGGAGTTGATCCTGCTTTGAGGAGGAAGTTGGACAAGATGACCTCCTGAAGTCCTTTCCAACTCTAATCTTCTGTGATCTTCCAGTAATGACTTGTCTAGTCAGCAGGATTCTGTGCCCAAAAGCTGAATATCCTCTATAACTTCTGGGTATGCTGGTCATACTCATTCAGCCCTGGACTCTTCCACCTTGCCTCTGGCCCAGAGTAACCAATCTCTCCTGGGTGGAGAGTATTCTTTCACCTCCAAACTCATTCAGTTGCATCAAACAACATAAAATAAAGGCAGCCTTCTGTGCAGCCAATGGAAACAACTTTCTCTTTGCATCCACATTCTGCCTAGGCAGCCAGGATTCCAGGAAGACAAGCAGAGAGGAGGGCAAAAAAAAAGCACACAAAATCAAATCTCACAACATACATGCCCATGAGGAGTCCAGGAACTAGAAGGTCACCTCTGACCTTCCCTGTTTAAATACCTTTAAAACAACTGAGTCATGGTCCAGGGGAAGCCAGAAAGGATCCAAGAGAAACCAGACAAAATATTATGCTGAAAGGCCTCCACTTATCACATTCTCTATGGACAGCCGGAGAATGTGTTCAAATGTCTAGCACTTTACGTTCCTGATTAACTTTTCTTTCTTTTTTTTTAAAGCACATTGGTAACTATAGCAACAATTGCTGACAAGACTGAAAACCCATTTCTGTCCTTTGTTAGGAGTCATTCCTGTCAATTACCTCACTCTTCTCACCCATCCCTTCAGCCCAAGAAACAAACAGCTTGATGTTTGTCTTTTCCAATAGACCCAGCTTTGTGTCAGGGATCTTCATCTACTAAAACTTGGGAGGCTTTGTATGCTCTCACACACATGGCCTCTCCACCCATCTGGAATTAAGCCACAGCCTACTGACTCTAAGGAGAGAATGTTCTCTAGCAGTTAGAGACTGACCAGAAGTCAGAATGCAGAGTGTCATTTTCCAGCTAAGCCACAGGCGACCTGCATGACTTTGGGCAAATCGTAATCATGCCTCAGATTCCCTTCTTGTGAAATGGGATGATATCTCCCTACCACATGGGTGGAGGGGGTCATGGTGAGATTTAGCTAATAATTATAAAATACATTCAGGAACACTAGGTGAATGGTACAGTAACATGTATTATTGTATTTTTAAGGTGATGTGCTAAGTTGCTGGGTATTCATTTAGGCCAGTGGTCTCCAACCTTTTGGGGCTGCCGAGCATCTGGGGGCGGGGCTGTGCATGTGCTGCGTGCCCGGGGGTGGCATCGCGCATGCACTGTGCGCCTGAGGCAGGGGCCGTGCATGCACCAGGGGTGCAAGAATGTCTTGGGCCGGCCTTGGTCACTAGGCGGGTGCACATAAATGCCCCAGCAGGCGCCATGGTGCCCGCGGGCACCGCGTTGGGGACCACTGCTTTAGGCTCTTGGGCATAGTGAAGTCTATAATCCATCCCTTGCGAGGGGGAAAGCAATCAAACTACAGTGACTTGAGCACAGTACAAGTGACATGACATTATTAAGAGCCAGTCTGGTCTGAGAGCCAAGGCACCAGGCTAGAATTCAGAAACCTTCCTTCTATTCCCATCTCTGCAACTGGCAAGTCACTTCACCCACCCTTGTTCCTGTCCCATCTTGTCTACTGAAGTTCCCTCTATGTACAGCCCTTCGCACCAGGCAGGCCTGGGCTTAGTTTGAGCCTCCAGGTGCTAATATAAGTAACATCACTCCTGCTACTATTAGCATGTCTTAGCAGCAGAACAGCTTGACTGTATGTCCCACAGAGCAGCTATGTATGTCTACGCTGGCTGGTTCTTGCGCAAGAACATCTTGCACAAGGGTTCCTGTGCAAGAACTCTTGCGCAAGAACACGGGCACATGGCCATATGCTTTTGTGCAAGAGCATCCATGGCAGTATGGACGCTCTCTTGCGCAAGAAACCCCTGCTGCGCTTCCACACTGCCCTCTTGCACAACAGTTCTTGCACAGGAGAGCTTACACTTGTTAGAAAAGAGCGTAGCTCTTGCACAAGAAGCCCTCTCTTATCATGCTTTACTGTAAATCTTCTTGCGCAACAGCGGGTGGGCAGTGTGGACATTCTGCGGAAGAACGGCTTTTCTTACGCAAGAACCCGCCAGTGTAGACATAGCCACCTGTGCTTGTGGAGCAGGAGGGAGTAGGGGAGTTCTCAACTGCTGCTGTCCTGCTGCTTTGAGGAGCTATGACAGTCCTAACAGGCCACTGAATGTAATCACAGCTCTAAAATGGCTGAAGGGCCTCAGTGCAATGAGGCAGAGTGCTGACCCCACATCCCTTTCTATCGCAAACACTGATGATTGTGGCACTGGACCCCACACCATGATGTGCCAAAGCTCTGTTCTGCTAACCATCCCAACATCCCATAATGCCACATGCGCTGAGGGACTTCCATATGCTAGATGACTATGAGCCGAGCGAGCTCAGTAGCCAGCACCCTAAAAAGCTCTTGGTGGATCAGTAAAACCCTCTTGCAGTGATTTTCCCAAAGCTGGGCCAAAAAAACAACAACCCTGCAGTGAAGAATGTGCCGCTTGTTGGCGAATTTTCTGCCGAAGCCTCAGGGGCTGCTTCTCACATATGATTAGTGTGTTTACCCTGAACATGGGCAAAGCCACACAATAGGGTCTCTGAGGAGACATTTCCCACCATTTCCTTCCACTGTAGCCCTCCCTACTGCCTTTTTCCTTCCTTCTTCCCCTTGTCAAGGAGATAAAAGGCTGAATTTGTGTATCACTTGGCTCCAAAGAAGAGATTCACAAAGATTAGGAGGGTTGAGCCCTTCCATTCTGCCTCCCTTCCCCGGCTATGAAAGAGCCAGGCCTAGCTGCTGAAGAAAAGCCTTTGGCAGAGCAGATGATTTCCTCTTGCTCCCTATTATGGAGGTACAGGGGCTGGGGGTGAGGGGAGGTGTACTGTGACACCGCTGCTGGTGTTGAGGCCCCTCCAGGGGCTGATCAGAAATAAAACAACAGCTGGGGGATTTCCTGAGGGCTGCCTCACACAGCCAGAGCCCAGGCAGCTCTGAGCAATGCAGGCAGCCCCATGGGCCCCTGCCTTTGAACTCATGCTCTGGCTGTGCAGAGTGTCTGGCCTGTGCAATCATAGACAGCGTGGAAGTGGCAAAAGCAAATAAGTGACTGCCAACAGGGGCAGGAGTCTGTAATGGCAGTGAGAGGGGCACAGAACAGCAGGGATTAAGATCTGTAAGGAGAATGGGAGCAGGATAGCAAGAGGGATGGGCAGAGGAGTGAAATTAGGACGTGCCTGGGGCAAGGAATACAACAGCGAGTGGGAGCTCAAAGCAGGACCAACCCCAATTAAATTATCCCAGCCCAGGCTCTCCTACTCAGTTCTTTTACTTGAGACTAAGATGGTGCTGGTGTCTGGTCTTTAACGTCAATCACGTAGATCCAAATGCTAGTGGCAGTGAAGTAAATGGCAAAAGTTCCATTGACTTCAGTAGAAACCAGAACAGATCTTGGGGCCCATGCAGCTACTGTCCAGCCTTGCTTGCTGTTTTTCTAAGTTTCTCACTCATTGCATCTGTTTGGGCCCAGCTTTCTTAGTGGCAGGGTAGCTGACAGCTGGTGAAGGCACAGCTTTCCCAGTGCATAGCAACAAATTCCTTAAATTCACTTCTACTTTACAGCCTCTGAGAAAGGTGGGCTGGGGAGGATGAAAGCAGCCATTATTCAATGAATGCAAATTAAAAAAAGCTTTTTTTAGCACAGAGCTTCCTCCAGGGTTCTCACTGGCCATCTTATACTTCCAAAAACTCACCTGCCTTCTTAAAGATCCCTCAGCCTATTACAGAAAAACCACTTCTCTCTCTGAATCCACTGAAATGGGTGAGCTTATTCAGCGGACTCCCAAGGTAGATTGGGCTGTCTATTTTCATCCTCATCTTCTGTCCACTCCTTTTCCAGTATTTTAGAGGTGAAAATATGTTAATGGGTCATTTCTCTCTCTGGCAAGCTATTGTATAAGCCTAAGGTAGCCTGGACCTGAATCAGATCCTGGTGGATTGTTTAACTAAATAACTAGGTAACAGGGGTGTCAGGCAATGGTAGGGGAGAGACCCTGCTCCAAACTTTGCTGAAGCTGGGTGTTGGGCCAGGAATATTCCTGCACCATGGGGCCATAACTCACTACCCTAGAGCTCCTAGGCACGCTCTTGCTGCCCATCCCCAAAGCTGCTGCTGGAGGAGGCAATGAGGGAGATTCTGGCATGGGCTTGTGCAGTGGGAGGGGAGAGCGGGTGCACACTGGAAGGCACAAAAGGGAGAAGCATGCCCTGAAAACAGGCTTGGACTCTGTGCCACCATCCCCATGCAGTACCTCCTTGCCTGCTTGGCCCCAACTGTTCCTGAGCCCCTGAAGATATTAACCAGACTTTGGGAGATTCTGACTGGATATTGTCAAGTGTCTTCCTCGACTGGACTTTCCAGTCAAAAACTGGACAACTGGCAGCTCTACCCCACTCCAGCCATTGATAGTTCTCTTGCTGTAACAGTCCTTAAATTATAAATCACTTAGTGCTGGGCAGTCAACAAGAACAAAGCCCTGACAATTTCTTTCCTAAGTCTCAGGCAGAACTCACACAGAACACATCTGTCTGCAGCACCTATCTGTTCTCTTTACGCAGCTAGTTACTAACTATTGTCCTTCCTGCAGAGCAACATTTATAAATTGACAAATGACCCAGCTATGTACAGAGAGCCAGGGTTATGTATATTTATTTACTTTGTTAAAAAGTTACTTTTCTTCTGTCTTTGAATTAAGGTTTCGATGATTGGGACCTTGAAACCCAGTTGTGAAATTGTCCAGAGTTAGGTAACCAATTGTTTGGGATCTCACTGGGTATGTCTGGACGGCACCCCTTTGCCAGCAGAGGGATGCAGATTAGGCAGGTCGAAATTGCTAATGAAGCGGGGATTTAAATATCCCATGCTTCATTAGCATAAAATGGCTGCCACTTTTTTCAGCACGGAGCTTTGTCGGAGAAAAGCGGCAGTCTAGAGGCTGATCTTTCACTGAAGAAAGCCTTTTCCGATAGATCCTGTATACACTGGAGAAATACAGTGGAGAAAGGAGCACAATAGCAGGCCACTGAGTGGCCCCATGTTGGCACCTCCTCCAACGCAGATGTACCACCCCCCAGCTCTTTCATGCAAAGTCTCCTCCATGTGTATAGCAGCCTGGCTGGAGGATGGGGCTGGAGGCAGTACAGGTATGCCAGAGGAGCTGCCAGCATGAGGCCACCCAGGAACCACAGCAGGGAAAGGAGTACAATACCAGTAGCTCATCTCGCATGGCTGTAGCACCCCCGTCCTGTCCTCCAGTGGGACTGCTTGTACAGACCTCAGAGAGATGTAGCTGCATAGTCAGGCTAGGGCTGTAGACCCAGAGGAGCCAGCATTCTATTCCTTTCTCCACTGCCACTGTGGTTCCCAGGTAAGTCCTGCCATTCAGGGCTCTCCCGGGAACCACAGTGCAGGGCCACCGGATGGCGGCTCCTCGGGTGTGGCGGTGCCACCCCCAGCCAGGTCCTACAGAAGGGCTGCTGTACAGACTGAAGAGACCACATGTGGAAAGTCTGGGAGCAGTACTGCTGTGCCCAAGGAACTGCCAACATTCTGCTCCTCCCGTGTCTTTCCGATACACTTTACCAACTATAAATGTCTTGCTGATAGGAGGTACTGAACCATAGGGCTACATCTAGACTGGCATGATTTTCTGCAAATGCTTTTAACTGAAAAGTTTTCCGTTAAAAGCATTGCGGAAAAGAGCGTCTAGATTGGCATGGACGCTTTTCCGCAAAAAGACTTTTTGAGGAAAAGCGACCGTGCCAATCTAGACGTGCTTTTCCGCAAAAAAGCCCCGATCGCCATTTTTGCGATCGGGGCTTTTTTGC